AGGGTCCCTGCTGGAAGGGCCCTTGCTCAGCCGCTACCGCGGCTGCGAGAGCTTCTTTCAGCCGCTCTGGTGCTGGGGGAAAGGCTGGGAGCCCAAATCTCACCCCTAACGTCCGTGGAAAACCTTTGACTGTTGTACGTGTGTCAGGAAGGTTATCGCTACAATGGCTGCAAATGAAATGCGGTATGTGAGTGCAGCAGAGCGAAACCGCGTGCTCCAGCAGAAGAGCAAGTGGCACACGCATCTCTCCTTACGAGTGAGGGGTATGGGACAGAGTTACCAACTGAGATGCCAGGTACAACCGAAACTGTGCGGCAGACCGAAAATGGTGGCAAAGCAAAGCTGCTTTCCCTTGTTTTGCCTTAGGAGTCTAAGGCTTGTGTTATTCGTAACCATGCTGTAGTGCAAGCTATAATCTGAGAGGATGCAGCAGGCACCGGCTGTATTGCCGTCCTCTGCGCTCCACCACGGAAAGGGAGCTCCAGCCATGCCTACTCTCGGGGGGAAGTTTTCATAAGGATGAAGGATCCAAGTCAGCAGATTTCCTAAGAAACTCCAACCCCTGGCTGCCTGCGGGCGCCTTGTCCCACTTCCCTACAACCTCTGATGCCAAGTTGTTACAATTAATTCCCAATACGTGTTATCACCCAGGAGACCGGGTTCAGCACTTGCGTCTGAGTGTGCCAGGCACTAGGAGGACACACCGTGCGAACGCACCTCTTCCTCAGTAACCAAATCTAACATGACATGCTGCAACAGGAAGGATTAGACATGGGGTAATGGAAAACCACCCTGTGGCCATACAGACTATGTAATCGCATAAATCAATAGATAGATCAATGTTTTCTTGAGGTAAGCGAAATGAATCAAATACCAGAAATCTCTGTTGGTCATGTAAGAGCTGCTACAGAATAAGCTCATTTGCTTCAAGACTTCTCGGGGACTGGCTCCACAGTACCACGAGGCACGCACTTGTTGCAAAGCAGCATACCAAGGGGATCCATCTGTACTCAAGTATTTAATCTGATAAGCCTGAAAGCTTCAAATTTGATTGCAGCTGGTCTGCAAAATAATGACTTCGGTGGGAAACAGTCGAGGCATTGGTTTTGGATCAGAACTTCAAAGAAAAGTTTTGGGTGATCATCTGTTAGACCATCAAGGACCCGAGTAACTACATATCTGGTGGGATCCCTGTATACAGAGAAAAAAACAGTGTGAAACAGAATATAATTTGCCTTTATTTAATTTTGTTTCCAATAATGTCATATTATTTATAAAGTCCAAAAAAGTAATAAAGTAAGATTTTCTGTGAGGCATTTTATTTTTAAGGAAATGAGTTAAACAAATGAGCTAATTAGGAAAATTAAGGATAAAAATGTTGATTCAATATGAGAGAGGTGCACACATGGCTACTCAGGAAATCCTGCTGTAAGAAATTACCAAGGCCAGATTACCAGACACATATCTGCTAGAAGATTAAATCAATCAATGTTGGAACTGCTTTTTCTCAAGAAACTGGGCGCTGTCAAATCCGTTCCTTTCAAATCATTATATATTCCCACTGGGTCAAACTTCTGGCTCGAAGCCAAGTCTTCAATCAGTTTTCGGCCCATTTTTCTTCCTGCTTCAGTAGACATAGCCTTTTTCCAGAGCTTCAGCAGCAATCCTCCTTGGAAAGAAACACAACGTGACATTGTCAAATTAACGTGGAGCACATGCAGCTCACGGCACACAAGGGATGAAGCGCACATCTGGCAACACACACCCACCACTCTCCTGTGGACAGTGAGACGCACACAAAGCTGGAGCGTGCCGATGGGGTAATAATTGCCTACAACTGTGTAGGGCCATTCATTCAGCTCAGGATCTTTTGTATTGATAGACAACAGGGCTTGTTCCCTTGTCACCAGTGTTGCAGGTCAAAATGATTGAGACACATGGTAAGGTCTTGTTCTGCAATTGCACATAGCTTCATGGCTTATGAAGCAGTGGCCTGGTAGTTATAATCATGCACATCTTTGTTTTTACTCTAAATCAATCAAGAATTTGCATTTCTGCCAGCTAAGGCCTGAAGTTAAAGAAGAAAATGATCCTAACACTTTCATCCGGGCAATGAACAGTGGCTCTCTAGAAAGCGTGCCTGACCAGTCCAGCATTAGCACCCGTTTGCCTGCTCCCCACTCCTCTCAGTGCTGATCTTCATGGTGGATAAAGGGTCCATAGAAGAAATCTGAGGGTAAAAAAAGTCTACTAGAAAACCAAGAGGAGTTTATTCTCCTGCAAAACATGCTTTTGTATAAAACTGGCAACAGTAAAGAATTGAATTTGCACAGTATTGTATAAGGGAGATGAGGAGTTAAGAGGAGAAGGCAGCAAATGGTCCTCTTGCTTAGGAGGACCACAGGAGGACCGCAGGAAAGGTGAGGACAGCAGGAAAGGTCTTGAATAACGAGGCATCTGCTGTTCTGCCTTCAGATATTGGTGAGGGGCAGAGCATAAAAAGTAAAGCTTCTGACTGTCCATGAGTCAGGAAGCTTTGGAGGTAGCACAGCGATCTCTCAATACAGGTCCCTGCTGGACTGGCAGAGGCAGCTAGAGGAAAATAAAGAGTAATCAAACTCTGAATCAAGAAATCAAATCTCACTCTGGGTTGGACAGGGTCCTGTCCTAAGAGGTACTGAGGCCCTCTATCCGCTGATGAATTTTGCAGCATCAGAAGAGGACTCCACATCTCACAGGATGTATTTAAAGGTTTGAGGAATCCGACACTACAAAAACAGTATGTCACATTTTGTCATATGAGTTTTGCGGCAATAAGATCTAGTGTTTCAGGTCCCCGCTCAGGCTGTGTATCCAGACCCAAGTCAAATTTAGTTTAAAGCTCCTTTTCTGATCTGCAAAGCAGTCACCAGGTTGAGTTAGCTGGCATTTAACTCTCAGCTGAATGCAAAACCCATCCCTTCAAAGCAGAGTGAGGAAAATCTCCCACCTGCAAAGCAAGGGATTTCAGCTACGGGCTTCATTATGGCTGCACCTGCATGAAACTTCTTCATCCCTCTCTTTCCTTCCCTCTATGGTGTTCAGCATCCACGCCTCTTTTCCTCTCTCCCTCCAGTGCTGCCCTCATCTGCTCTGCTGCCCTGGTGCTCTGCTCCCTCCTTGCTGCCCTGCTGGTCGTGCTTTTCCTTGCTGTGCCCCCTCCCCTCCTGGAGGTAGGTCAAGAAACCCTGAACTGTGTCATAGACTACCAGGCATGGGATAGAGCTGTTAAGATTCTTATTCGTGCTATGCGGAAAGTGTGAAGGAAGCACTCTGTGATGTGAGGATGCTCTTTTGTAACACTGAATATCTTCATTAAACTGCCTTTTTCAGCTATAAATACAGTTAGTGAGAGAATTTTCACTGAAATGTATAGGCAGAAGAAGATCACAAAACAAATGCCATAGCTCTGGATACTAGTTTTTCAGTGTATTTTTATTTAAAGAACCAAAATAACTTTCCTTCACAAAGGACAAACAAAAATACCCAACCCAGCAATACCTTCGAATGAACCGAAACCTCAGAAGAGTGTAATTCTGTGTCTCACCGCTGGATGGTGATGCACAACTTATTTTAGTGAACATGATGAAGCCTGCATTGTCTAAGGATACAGTTTTGCTGGGACAGATGATATTCTCTGTTAAACCAAAGATTGAGACAAAACCAAAAAACAAAACCAGAACACTTGTGGACACACAAACTGTTGTTCATGATCATTTGCCCATTTTTTTGTAATGACCTCAACTGATTTAATAACTTCATTTACAGCTTTAATGGTTTCAGATTTAGCTGGTGAAACACAAACTAGTGTCTGTGTTTTTAAAGTTCCTGTGAAAACTGGAGAAAAAAAAAGTAAGATCACCTGCTCCAGCAAACCATTCATTTGTCTCATGTGAAATCCTCACTGCGTATCGTCAGTGTCCCATTGCTGCGTTTGCTCTCTGGTGTGTTGTTTACTTATGGTTGTATTTTTAGCTGTACTGTTTTATTGTTAGTCTCTAGAAAGCGTTTATACTATTGTGTATCAAAAACCAGTGTGTTCACATGGAGAAATGTGTAGAAACAGAGAACAAGATATTAAATATGTATGGATTACAGACATTTGTAAGTCGGGCTCATACCTGTTAATTGATTTGCTTTGTGAAGAGCTCTTAGTGAAAGCAGGACTCTGTTTTGCTGTGGACTGAAGTCACTAATGGACGGGAGGACATCCCCTTCAACAAGCATCCTCTGGGGCAGGAAAGCCTGGAAGTTGTTTACATTCTGTAAATCTGTAGAGAAGTGTGTGGCTGCAATGAAATCTACAGCGTTAGCCCAGTCTTCACCGAAACTTGCTTCTGGATCAGAGAGATATTTCAAGCTGAAAGAGATTAAAATAAAAATGTAATAGATAATTGAAATCCACTGTCGAACACATTAGTCTATCAGTTTTCCTAGAGATGTTTTGTTCAGTATAAAATCCTGAGTGGTCTCAGTGCCACGGTGTCTTAAAGCTGCCTTCAGCACTTTACATGTAATTTCTCCTGGCATCACTGCCTCTGGCCAGACAACACAGCTCCTGACTGGGGCCCCGGCTCCCAGAGAGGAATCAGCATCTCATGTTAAGCCCACAGCCTGCTCACCCATTGCAACCTGGGCAGCCATCTCTCGCTGGTCATCCCATGCTCCGAGAGAGCGGAAGCAAGAGCAGACCTTGAAGAGTAGAGGCCTGAAGTAGGAAAGCTCGTGCGGACTTTGTTGAGATACTGTCCTTCCAAAGAGGCATGCAGGTGGGAAGATCCCCCTTGGGCACGTCTCTCATCCCCGTACCTGTCCTGGAACTTGGGCAGCGCGTAAGCAATGGAGGAGACGTGTGCCCTCCACATGAGACAGAGGGCATCATCCAGTTCGAAGGAGGAGAAGGTTGCAGGGCTCACGGCTTTGTGTTCTGTAGACAACAGATACTGCAGCAACAGGGAGGAAAAAAGGCAGAGAAATGGAGTGATGGCTTAAACGCGATGAATTTTTGAGACTTACACACATACCTCACAAAATAGTAAGTTTGCAAGCTAAGGGAAATTGCTTTTGAGTAGTTAGAATGTGCTGCTTTCTAAGTAACTGTAATGTCTGACATAGGGAGAAAAAGATGTTTAATATAGACCTATTAAGTGAATATGTATCCCCACTGAAGCTCATTGGAGTTGCCGTTCTTTGACTTCAACAGAGCGAGGGTTTACCCACGTAATCTAGGTATTCTGTCATAATAATTCAGTGGACTTTTGCATCTGAGAGCCATGGAAACTTCCGTGCTGAAATATTGGATACCTTGAAAACCTGTTTATGTTCTTTCAGCCACAACTTTCTGGAGATTTTCAGAAAATAAGAAAATTATTCTTAATGGTTATCATCATGGCTATTTGAGATGTAGATCTTTTATAATAACTTCTGAAACGTACATCTTAGGAAAAAAAGTCTTAAGAAAACAAATCCAGTCTTGCTCCTAAAACCTCTACCTTCACTCACAGTTGCCAAGAGGGACTTTGTTCAGGTTTAAATTTTCTGATCATTATCAATTCCCCCTGAGCTGGAAGACAGGGATGGCAAGCAGGATGAACCCCCCATAATCCAAGAGGAAGCAGTCAATGACCTGCTACGCCACCTGGATGCTAACGTCTATGGGGCCGGATGGGATCCACCCGAGAGTACTGAGAGAGCTGGCGGAGGAGCTATACAAGCTGCTCTCCATAATTATTACACAGTC